AAAAACTTTAATATAACAGCAAATGTACAACGTTTCGACAAGGTTTTGTCATCATCAGGTTGAAACGTTGTACATTTGCTGTTATATTAAAGTTTTTCTTCATTACCCATTCAAGCCGTCTCCAGCCATTATTAGTCTCAAAGTGGGTTCCTCGTCATCGAATGCTTCTATATTGTTTGTTTAGAACTTTTCTGGCTGCTGGAACTGAGACAAAGACTAGAACGGGAATCATGATATATTACAGTGTTAAGTCAGAAAAGTTCTCAGTGAACTATTCCACAATCCTAAATTACTTACATCAAGTAACCATTCTTATTATACATTTACAAGATAAAACTCAAACTAAATACTAAATTGTACATGTCTCTGTACCTCCCCTCTAAATGAGCATGACCTCATTCCAGGAAGATATTACACAGAAACATGGCCAAGCAAGTATTAAACAATCCTTGTAGCATGTAACCTTTATCTAAACTAGAAAATTAGCACAAGTTTCTGGCATTTCTACATACTGTTCACAAGAATGCCAACTAATTACATAAAACTTGCACGAAGACTTAGGAAATGTTACCATAATGTAGCTGAATAACAATATATATTTTCTCTTTTTATCAAATTAGTAGTTCCTTCAGCTGCTACACTAACACATGCACCTTGTGAAAGGGGAATAACCTTCAGTTGGGAATGAGTTATTCCAATAAATTATGAGTGTTATTCTAAGAACTGCTCTACTAAAATTTACAATCACCATAAGGTAGAGGGAAAACTTTTTTTAATCAGTAAATTATGCATGACATGTTAGTATTTCCAGTTATATATTTCATTTTTCAAACCAATGTTTTTTGCAACCACAAAAACAACTATTGTGAAGCATAGCGTATACACCAAACAGTAGGTATTTATTACAAAATTATCTTACGATACCTCAGAACAAGCAGTCACACCCTCCAGCAACAGACAACACTGTAAGATGTTACTGTTTAACCTTTCTACAGTTAGAGCCGCACGTTCAGATGGATGATGCAAGATCAGAGACACAGCCGTTTCTTGTGAATTGGACAAGGGAACCTCCCAAATTGTCTCAGAGATATATTCTTCTACAATACACCTATGTGAAGACAGATTTATTTTATGAAACAGTTATTCAACTGAAAGGTTACAAACTTTGTGCACAATATGTAATGCAGAATATAAATGTTATTTTTCTTGAAAACATTTTCATTTTCAAAATAAGAGGTTTTCAAATCTATACAACACAGAAAAACTTAATTTTAAACTTACCTAACCAAATCTCCCATGTCTGCTTCCTTTTGGTCTGCACTTCTTTCACAGAAAATATCCTTTTTGAAAACTTCAATGCCTTTCCAACCAAGAATGATTTGATTTAGTATCAATATGGCTTGTTTACAATACACAGAGGACTCGTGTAGCTTGTCCAAGAGGTAGTCTATCAGTAATGATGGATCTCCTGCCCAATTCATTATAAAAGCTGTTATTTTACAGATTGAAAGGTAAAAGAAAACAATAAAGTATAAGGTTTGTGAGAGGTGAAAATTTTGACAATTCTTCAAATGTCCTTACTTTCGTATACTACATTAACCTTAAACCACAAATGACTAGAAAGTTGTTTTTAATATTTTCTATAACTTACCTATAGAAATGTAAAGTTTCACAAATTGTGTAAAATACATATTCCACCTTCAGTCATTGTCTCAAAGTGCTATCAATAATTGTCACAGTATCTGAACACAGATACCCTGTGGTCCTTTTAACACTTGAATACAACAAATCATATTACTGATGCTACATGTGCACAGCACCCAACTACTCTTGTACTTGTGCAACATAGATCACTGTCTGACTGTCTTGATGAATCCAGAAAGATAGTACATCTTACTTGAAACTTAATGAAACTGAATCTTTTTATGAAAAAATCATCTCTTTAGTTGCAAGCTATATTTTTAATGTTTTAATTTAGTTGTTTGGGAGAGGAAGCTGTTAACCATGATGGTGTAATAATTGAGAATATTCCTATAATATCTCAAAAATTATATCAATTATAAATCAGAGTATAAGAAGTTAGCAAATGAATATTTAACAAGTAGTTTAATACAATATTAGTAGAAAGAGTTATCACATCTATTCAGTTACTCAGTGAGTTACCATATTTTGTTTGTTATTGATCAACTAGTTTTGCAAGGAAATTTTATTAGTGTAGTACCATTAGTCTAGCAGTTTAAGTGAAAACATTGTTTATGAACTCAGGCCTACAAATGTGTACAAGTGAAAGTAGCCTGTAGAAAATGTTAAGGAAAAAATAAACTAATTTGTTATTATTATAAGAACTGGACATGACCTTATTTTTCCAAAATAACCCAAAAGAATCCAGCCAACAATAGAATATGTTACAACACCAGTGTGAGAAGTAGGATTATTTTGGTGAAAAGAAAAATTAAAATAATACTTTGACTAAATTTGAGCATGACAACTTGATCATGAAGCGAGACTGAAGTGTTATGAGAGACGATGATGCTATCAAAAATGGTCAAGAAAGAGACAAAAAATTAGAGGAATAAGACAAAAAAATCAAAAGACGACCAAGAAGAAAGGGAGAGAAACAGATAGGAACACATTACAACACTTTTAATACTGACTTACATATTACACAGTCTAGTCCTCAGATAGATGTTCCTGTGTGTTTCAGCTAGTATACACCCAGTTTTAATAACCTTATACATTCTTCAAATAACTGTTGAAGATGCAAACCCCATCATCTGATTGAATCTCTTTTTTACACTAAACTTTCAAACTCTATAATCTATTGGAGTTGTTGGATTGTTTCACCAATTTGAGCATGCATGCATATTGCAATAGCAAAATCAGTTTTCTTTTGTTTATAAGCAGGTCTATGGCTTTCACTAAAAGTCCAGACTATTTTCACATAATCCCTATAAAAAAAAAGGAATTTACAAGTTGGAAAAGACTATGTCCAATAGTTTCTAGTGTTTTATGTGAACACATACTGCTTCTACCATCCAACACATTGTGATAAACCTTAAAGATTGAATTCCTCTATAGCATCAGACACAAAAGTGGCAGAGAATAAAAAGAATCCAGACATTTCTGATAAATCAGCAAAGAATAACTTATACCACAAACCCCTTATACATGGCTCTCTATGGTAATGGTTTATTGCTATTTTCAAGACTTGATGGAAAAATTCTAAATCTTAAAAAAATGTTCACATATTTAAAGATTACCATACATGCAGTAAGCTATCTCCCTCATGATTAAATGAGAAGGGAAGTGTATATTCAGTTAAAAACAAAAGTTGAATATTCACTGCAATGAAAAACACATTTTGCAAATGTAAACACACATACAAAATTTAAAACATTCATTAGTGATATCATTATTCATACAGTGTCCTTTGCAGTATTTACAGCTCTTCATCCTTTTTTTAAAATCCAGTAAAATTCTTTATTAATTTTAAACACATCAACAACACAAAACATGGTATCATTTAACCTCTTTTAATATTCAAATTCTATTGGTTGTTGGTAAAAGTTTTTAAACAGAAACTTTACCAATATAGCCATGGCATACATGACATGTATGTGAAGAAAATGGCAAATCTGAACACAATATGTATTGCTAATGCCAAAACTTAATCTTTACCTTTCATGGTGCATCTCATAATAGGGTAATCTCAAATCTCACACATATTAATTCCTCAAGAAAGATGACCATGCCCACAAATAAGACCGAATCAAGAATCGATAGTTGAGACAAGAGTTTATTGAAACGCTGACCAATATCCTGACAAATAACAAACCTAAAACCTCTCATAGCTTCTCTGCATATTTAGACAAAATTGAAGAATTCTTCCAGGGAGTTCAAAATAAAGTCAGATTTTTACTGGAAGTTTTAAAAAACTCATGCTTGTAGGACACTGGTTACACCTTTTTTTCAGATAGAACATCATTTGGGTTTTCACATCCAATTTGTGAAAGAGATTCAATGCATCCTTAAATCCTCTATCCACAACAGCCACATCATATGATTATATCCAGGTGCTAATGCTTTCAACCATCATTTCAGAACACCTGATGAGTAACTGCCAAGTCATTACTTCACACACTATCAGGATATGAACCATGGTTTAACAAGTGATCATTGTTTGCACATGCTATACCTACAGCTCTGGAATACATACTCACCACTTTTCTGAATATACACATATGTACCTGCTAAAGATACAATAATAAGATTATTGTTCCCTTCTGCCAAAAAGCTCCTGAGAAAGAGGATAAGCATAATTAGGTATCAGTTCTTGACAACTTATGCCTAAGTCAATAATACAGAAAAAAAAAAGATCAATCACCACCAAGACAGAATGAGCCAAGTATATTACTCTCTTTACAGAAAAAGCATTTTCCAAACCCAGAAATGTACACAGAATTCTGTTGGAAAACACAGTATACAGTATACTGAGGAGAATCCACAAACAGGTTCGCAAAGTTCTTAAATATGTATTCCTTAAATGTAGTTTCCTGTAAGACAGGTAATGAAACTGAGACTTAGTTGAAATGAATTAAAAGTATTCAACATCAGCTAATCCATGAGGCATACCAGTCTATTCTGCCTGAGCTCTCTGCTGTGTTCTCCAAAAGAGTAATCTCATCCATTCTGTTATGACTTATATGGGAATTTTTCTTTGTGAAGAGTAACACAAACAATATACATTACAATTAAAAAAAAATATTATTATGAACAAATAACGTACACATTTAAATGAAAAGTAATACAGACATACAGTACACTTTTAAAGAAAGAGTAATATGAATAAATACTGTACACTTTTAAAGAAAGAGCAATATGAATAAATACTGTACACTTTTAAAGAAAGAGTAATATGAATAAATACTGTACACTTTTAAAAAAAGAGTAATATGAATAAATACTGTACACTTTTAAAGAAAGAGTAATATGAATAAATACTGTACACTTTTAAAAAAAGAGTAATATGAATAAATACTGTACGAACAATGTACAGTACACTTTTAAAGAAAGAGTAATATGAACAATGTACAGTATACTTTTAAAGAAAGAGTAATATGAACAATGTACAGTATACTTTTAAAGAAAGAGTAATATGAAAAACATACAGTATACTTTTAAAGAAAGGGTAATATGAACAACATACAGTATACTTTTAAATAAAGAGTAATATGAACAACATACAGAATACTTTTAAAGGAGTAATATGAACAACATACAGTACAGTTTTAAAGAAAGAGTAATATGAACAACATACAGTATACTTTAAAGAAAGAGTAATATGAACAACATACAGTCTACTTTTAAAGAAAAGTAATATGAACAATGTACACAAAGTGATATGAACACTATACAGTTTACTTTTAAATAATAAAGTTTTTGGTAATGCATTTTTACATTTTTATTTTTTAAAAGTCTCAAGAAACTAGCATAAAAAGAACTTACCATAATAGCCTAATAAACGGCAAATTTGCACTAAACAATCTTCTATTTGAGTGTCAACAAAGTGTTTAAAATGCTTTTTAGGCCACCTTGATAAAGCTGTTTCTATTCTATTTGACTCTAGATAATAAAATAGAAAGAAAGTCAAATGCTGTATGTTTTTAAAGCACTTTCATGAATAAAAAAAAATTATACACTTCACACTAATCACAAGATGGTGAGCCAAACACATTTTCTTTTATTATATCTCATGGGTTATATGAACACTAAGTGGATAATCAACTAAACAGAAGTTTGTGAGCAAAATATTTGAAAATTCTAAAGGCAAAACTCCAATAAAATATACACCCATTTAATCCTAGTTTTATATACTTTCACACTGTAGGAGAAAAATTCTAATCTGATAAAAGAAACTTTACAAAATCATCTAATAAATATGATGGTGTAAAAGAAAGCCAACATAGATTCATAAAAGGGAAATCTTACCTCACTGATCTGTCATCTTTTTTTGAGGACATTAAGATGGAAAAGGTGTAGATTCGATGCACTTACATTTTATAAATGTTTTGGATAAAGTATCATAAAAAAAGATTAGCTACAACTATCACATCAGTAGGGATTGGAGAAACACTAGTTAATTAGATAATAAGGTTAATGAATAGGAAAAGTCAAAAAGTCACTGTTAACTCTTTCAGCATAGGCTCAGTCCCTGGGATCAACCTCATAACCATTTTGTGCTTGGTATAGTTTTTATGCTATAACTTTTAAATTAATAAGCATATGTTCACAAAATTTGTTAGATTATCAGTAAACATTACAAGGCTTTCACACACAAAATATCATATTTTTTAAAATTAAGTCTTAAGGTTTGTTAAGCAATGATTTTCTCATGCCTTTTTTCTTTTCAAATGTTGCCTATCCAACATGCAAAGTAATTTTCATTCTAAGATTAAAAATACTTTTATGCATCAGAAAATTTTCAAATTTTACATGTAAAATCTTTATAACGTCCAGATAGTTATCAAACATTCTTTAAGAAAAAAACTTTATATCTGTTATTTTCACCAATAAATCTCTGTACAGGTTCGGTTGATTTGACCAATAACTATAAATTATGTTTTTTTCATTCTAGAATGACTACAAATTATAACACGAAAACACGAACCAAAATTTCAAGGAGGTAGGTTGTGTCTTTAGTCTGCTCAAAATTTCATATTTTTTTAGACTGAAATACAGCTTAGTTACTAAGCTTGATAAATTATAATGGAATTCTGTGGTACTGATATAGTAATTTATGATTTGCTAATTCAACTGTATATATAAAACCTAGAAAAAATTATTTTGTTTCATATCCTCCACATTAAAAATTTTAAAAGGCTTAGCAACCTACGTCAAGCAGCAAAGGAGTACAAAGCTTGTAACTAGTAGAGATAATTGTTTGTTTTACTTCTTTATTTACTGTTCTATGTTTTAATAAAATAAGTTTAAGAACTTATTTATAAATAGCAATAATCTATATACATATATAATGTATAATAATGAAAATGCAATTGTATTTTACAAAATACTAGTTTACTAAAACACAGCCAAGACAAGTTACTTTGTAAAGACTAAAGGTAAGTTTTATATTATTGGATATGGTAACATAAGTGCACGTGCGCCTCATCATTGTAACTTCTATATTGTTAGCCTGGCATGGCTGAGAGGTCAATATAATAAAAATAGTAAACATATATAAATGTATAATGTTACAAGACTTAAGCTATTTAGTCTAAACATTTATGTTTTCATGTTATAATTTGTAGTCATTCTAGAATGAAAAAGGCATAATTTATATTTATGTCCTCATGTTTTTAACGTGGTTACAAGATTGGTCAAATTGACCAAACCCATACAGAGATTCGTTACTGAAAATAACAGATAAAATATAAAGATTTTTTTCTTGAGAAACATTTGATAACTATCTGGATATTATAAAGATTTTGCATGTGAAATTTGAAAATTTACTGATGCATAAAAGTATTTTTAATCTAAAAATTAAAATTATTTTGCATGTTGGATAGGCATCATGCGAAAAAGAAAAAAAAGGCACGAGAAAAACATTGCTTTACAAACCTTAAGACTTAATAAAAAAAATTGATATTTTGCATATGAAAGCATTGTAATGTTTACTGATAATCTGCCAAATTTCGTTAACATAAGCTTACTAATTTAAAAGTAATAACATGAAAACTATAACAAACACAAAATGGTTATGAGGTTGGTCCCACAGACCAAGCCTGTACTGAAAGAGTTAACTTGGTAGGTTTTGCTATATGTCACAAGTTATATAAACAGTAAGTAGATAATGAACTAAACACAAGATTGTTATGTGAATGATAAAAAATAATAATAATAATGACATTTTAACTCTATCTTTCTAAAATTATTTCTGTCATAATTCATATAATATTTATCTTTTCACAAAGTTCAATGATTACAATGTATCTTTTCTCAATCACCCAGGTTGCACCACTTGTCACCTGGTAAGTTTGCTCTAGACTAACAAAAAGTCTAGTTAGGCCTAAGATAACAAAACTATCTGACAAAGGGTTGAAATTTGTTTTTAAACACAAATATGCAAGCATCTAAGTACATCCCATACCTTTGTCTTGCATTTCAAATGAAGGTAAGTATTTCCAGAGTTATGCTTACATTTAGGACACCCCCAGCATGTCTAATGTGGTCAATTATGACTCTCTTGGCATTAAGGGACATGTTTTATTGGGTTTCTGTAATGGCTTAAAATAATTTAAAGGGAACATCTGAATAATTTTCACATCATCAGCCTTGAGGAACTGTCTGCATTAAAGTCTAAAGTCTAGCAAGTCTTTGTCATTAATTATTGAAGCTCTTTTTAAATTATTAAGGGTATTCTTTGTAACAAAACCAGTATTAATCTTAGAGGGTTCCTTTAAAATCTTTTTGTCTGTTTGATGGAAGAAGGAAGATTTTTGGAATGGATGGTTTACATTTAAATAAGATATTGGCTGGTTTATTTGCCATGGCTATTAACTTAGCTGTAAGGGAAGTTTTAAACTAGGACTAGATAGTGGTGAGGGCCAGGATAAACTATGTGCAAAAAGAATGAGGCAGAGAAAAGTTTAGCATAGGAAATGAATATACGGTAGTTATAAGGATAGGCTTAATTGTTACTATTGCAATGCTAGAAGTATAAGAAATAAAATAGATGACCTTAGAACACTGGTAGGAATGGAAGATTTTGATATAGTGGGAACAACTGAAACATGGTTAAACGTAAATGATGTTGCTGACAGAAATTTCTTTGAACTACAGGGTTACAGGCTATTCAATAGGGATAGTGCTAAAGTGTGTGGGGGGAATGGTTTACATGTAAAATGTGAATTACATCCTGTTGAAGTTCAAAGATAATAGAAGAGATTTAATCCATTTGGGTTTCTATTAGTGGATATAAAGGAAAAAGGTTTTTAGTTGGAATTTGTTATGGACCACTAAATGATATTGATGAAATTAGTGAGAAACTTTATAATGAGATTAAGATTTCAGCTGTTAATTAAGTAATAATTATGGGTGATTATAATTTCAGGCATATAGATTAGGAAATGCTAAAGTCAAACTATGAGGGAGAAAGTTTTTTGGAAACTGTTCAAGATGACTTTTTCACCAATTAGTCAACAAACCCACTAAAAAAAGAATGCTATTTTAGATTTATTGTTAACTTCAAATATAGAAATGATCGAGAGGGTGGAAACTGGGAACATCTGGGTGCAAGTGATCATTGCTGTGTTAGGTTCAATGTTTTGCTGCATATGGAGATAAGGAATAATGATATTTTTGGTTACAAATGTCAAAAAGGCAAATTTTGAAGAGATGCGACAATAATTATCTGGTGTGATATTGGGCAGATAAGTTATTTGGAGATACTGATCAGATGTGGAAAATTTTTATAGATATATTTTTAAATATTCAAGGTAAACATATTCCTTATAGAAAGAAAGGGGTAGCTGCAAGTAAAAAAAACTAGGCTGGCTCACAAAGAGTATAAGAGATAACATTAAACTTAAATTGACTGGTATGATGGTAGATTTAGAAGATTATGGAAAATCAAGAAAGTTGGCGAAACAGGAAATTAGGACATCAAAACGGACGTAAGAGAAAAGGTTTGCTGAAAATGTAAAAATTAACAGTTAGGATGTTAGGGTAGGACCCTTGATGGATGATAAAGGAAGGCTAGTATCTGATGATTATGAGATGACTGGATTATTAAATTTTGCTTTTCCTTCAGTTTTTACTAAATTAGATTTAAGCAGTATTCCATATTTTGAACAGATGATAGATGGAAATAAGGTCCACCTAGATGACTGCATTAATTCTGAGCTGGTTAAGAAAAAATTGGAAAGTTTAAAAAACAATAAGGCTCCTGGGCCAGATAATATTTCCCCAAGGATTTTGAAGGAGGTTAAAGATTGGATATGTCAGCCACTTGCCACTATATTTTGTAAATCCTTGAATAGTGGGCAGATACCAGAGAATTGGAAGCTAG